CTTCCTTGTGAAGTATTTCCGTAGATCCTGTCCAACTCGATATCCAGATTATCTGCATGTATATACATCAGTAAAAATTTTTGAAATATGCCCTGGGGCGGAAAGGATTGAAACATTGGAACTTACCAGCTGAAGCATCCATGACGACGTCAGCTCTGCACAACGGACAATGCTTCTCGCGCCGCCGTTGTATCTTGACAATGCAGCGAATACAGAAAATATGCTGGCAAGCCAGACGCACAGGGCGATATGCGATGGCGAAACAGACAGGGCAGAGGTAGTCGTTTAGTTGAGGAACAACAGAAACAAGCTCAGTGGACACTTGAGCACACATATCTCTAGCCATGGTACCAGCGAGTAGTTTGTCAGAGCGGATCTGGGCGGGGAACGTCTTGGATACGCCCAGAGACGTGCGCTTGTCAAATTTTTTGAGAATTTTATGAATGGCGGTGCGGTTGATCTCCTGAAATTGGATGTTCTTCAGAAGCAGGGCGTTGAGACGAAGGAAGCGAACAAGCGCCTCTCGGCTCTCCGACATTTTGAACTGGCGAGCGAGATTCCGCTTTGTGACTTCGCCCTGGAACCACTGCAGCTGGCGTGAGGCCGAGTGGCTGTCGCGTGTACCGTGGTCCTGTTCGTAGACGGAAAAAAAGACTTGGGCTTCGAGATAGAGCTCGAAAATGGTCCGCCATCGCGCAAGATCGCTCTTCGAAAGCCGGCTAGGTTTGGTGAGTTGGGAGACGTCCTGCCCGAGAGCCACGATCTCCTTGGTCATGGCGACCTCTTCACTAGCCTGTAGGGCGTCTAGGCCATTGACATCGCTCTGCAGCATGTCGAAGAACTTGCCATCAAAGACGAGCGGAACCTCAAGCTGCTTGCAGAGAGGGTTGGCCGGCGAGGCGCTTGTGGAAATTGCCTCGCCTGAACGATCCAAATCGGCGGGCTCAGTTAGCTTGGCGAAGCTAGCATGCGATTCAGAAGTCGCTGCGCCATCTGTTGACGCTTCTTTTGGTGGTCCTAGTGATTGTTCCAATGGCAGCGCTGGATGCCGTGGCGAGTTTGCCTGCAAAGATGAGATGTGTTCCAAAAAGGTTCGAGAACTTGACGACAAAGATACATCCACTGCTACTCCATCCTGGAGGTGAAGCAGTACAGTGAGCTGGGGCCTCAGAAACTCCGAGCCCTGCGCGACTGGTTTGTGTCAACAAATTGAGTAGGGGATTGAGTGATCGAGTCGGATCGCGTACCTTTCAAGCCATACTCGATGACCAAAGGGGAGTCGCTTTGGGGATCGAGCAGCTGGCGCAACGTCTCAGGGTCCAAGCCGAGATCATTTAGTTCGCCGGCGACTCTCTTCAGCACCTTTTTCAGTTGGCTGTATGGAATGGCCGACTCGACCCAGTGTGAAGGGAACCCTGTGAGTGACGTGCATGTCAGCGAGAGTCACGGTCAACTCAGCTCATTGATGTTGAGCATGAGGACGTACCTACCTTCACGCGAAAGGGTCTCTTTGAAGTCGTGTGCGAACTTCATTGTCACGTCAGTGGTCACGCTTCATTCGCCTTCATTTCCAAGGGCGGCGGAGGGGGGCAGGATATGGGACAGGTGAGGTGCTTTTGTACCGGGTCAGGCGATGAGTCGCGACACAGCTTAACATGCAAAGCAGAGCCATAGGCCAGTCTGGATCCCAGTTGCCCAAGTTCCTGCGCACCATGCCTCACAGGGCATAGCCCAGCCGCGATCCCGGGTCGGATCAGTCGCACCCTCCCACATGTGTAGTGCAGGGGCAGCCCCTGGCCCTCGCAAACTCCAATGAACTAATTTTTATGATGGCTGTCTTGCGTAATGGGGTGAAAATTGTGTCCCCATGTTATGCCGGCCACGCCCGTGTGACCTCGTACTTCTCAGCCGACCTCGCGTCCCATCCCTCATGCCTGTTTGTTAGTTCGATGTACATACTTAGGTAGTCAACGATAAATGTGTTGCCGCAACATTGTCTGTGCACTCAGCTCGACAAACCAAGACAAGAGCTTGGGTGCCTTCGTAGAAGAGGAGCTAAAGCCCCCGTATGCCTGACCATGGCAAGTACACAATTGAACACCTGTTCGAGTGGCTTTCTTAAAGCCTCTGACCTTACTGTCAGGCACGCCGCGGCCTGTAGCATGCTGACAGACAGTGTCAGAACCCCACATAACAGGCTGGTCGATCAGCACTGTGCCAGGACAGCCGCCGCCTACCAATGGTCGGCCGGTGGTATGTGCAAACATCGCGGGGCAAGGTGGGGGTTGATCACAAGCCTTCGTTTCTTTTCCATGACGATGGCATTGATGACACAACCTGTGACTGTACATATTCTTACCAAACGCAACGCGAACGCTGCCGCGTTGAAGCGCTCCTTACCGCCACTATAGTCGCTCAAACACAGAGCCCTGGCGGCAGGTTGCCACATATCATTTTTTGCAATGGGCGCCCAGCAGTCCTCGGATCGCCACGAGGAACAATCTGGTGGTGGCCTTGCGGTAGCTAAGATATGCTATTATGAACTCCTCGGAGTCGATCGTGAAGCTACCGACGAAGAGTTAAGCTGTCGCCTCCGTATTCTATGCCCTGCTAATATTTTCATAGGATTAAGAAGAGTTATCGAAGGAAAGCGCTCGAGCTCCACCCGGATCGAAACTACGACGATGTCGAAAATGCCACCCGTCGCTTCGCCGAGATCCAATCTGCCTATGAGGTTCTATCCGACCCTCAGGAGAGGGCTTGGTACGATTCGCACAGAGAGGCCATATTGCGAGGCGCGGAGGCCGATGATTACGACCACCCCCCCGAGTTCAACAATGTACGCCTGACGTCTACGGAGGATATCCTTTCGCTCATCCGCCGCTTCAACTCGACGGTGCCGTTCACCGATGATCCCATGGGATTTTATGGTATACTAAACGAAACATTCGCTCATTTGGCGGATGAGGAAGACGCTGTCAGGGATTCCAACTCTGTTCATAGGGTTGACTATCCCTCGTTCGGTGAATCGAGCGATGAGTATGAGCCCAATGTTAAGGCATTCTACGCAAATTGGGCGGGCTTCTCTACTGTAAAAACGTTCGCTTGGAAGGATAAATACCGACTTTCCGATGCCCCAGATCGCCGCGTGCGGCGGGCTATGGAGAAGGAGAATAAAAAGATGCGCGACGATGCTATCAAGGAGTTCAACGATGCGGTCAGGTTTCTCGTCACATTTGCCCGAAAGCGCGACCCCCGCTATCTCCCGAACTCGCAAACTGATGCCGAACGCCAGTCGGCGCTGCGAAATGCTGCTGCTGCACAAGCAGCGCGGTCTCGGGCCGCGAACATGGAGAAGTTGGCGGATGATCATTTGGTGCCCGAATGGGCCCAGTCTCGACAAGATGATGCCGATGCGGGTAGCTTTACCCAGAGCGAAGAGGAGTCCGAAGTTGAGCACATAGAGTGCGTCGTCTGGT